TAATTCTCATAGCAACATTGCTCAAAATACAACCGTGTTTTTTCTTTTTCAGATAGCTTCTCAAATGCTAATTAGGATTAAGAGCCAGTGACTGGCCCAAGGTCAAATATTATGACTTATTATTGGTTAGGAATGCAAATGTTCTATTATTTTATGCTCAATAATTTGATTTATATTTATATCACACATACAGAATGATTTTATTGTAATTGAGGGGTCCTTGGTACTCTTTGTGCTTGGTTGTTTTCTTGCAGACATTTCATTACCAAACTAGGTAACATCATCAGTGCTGGTAGGGAGTAGGGTTTGCTCTCATTTTATATTCTACTGGCTTGCCATATGACTGTTGTTGATCGGAGTGATTTCGGTGGTTCTTTGGATGGGCTATTTACTGTTCGTTTGGCAGTTCCTTGACTGAAGCTTGTTGTGATGACCCAGGGCCTCGCACAGAGGCAAAGCACTCAGCTGGCAAGAGAAACAGTCCTTTAATAACTGCCAATGTTCCCCAAAAGCTCCCACATATGCTGGCAAGCCTTCAACCAAAGCATACACACAGGTTCCTTTCAGCTGCCTCTGGCTGAAGACAATTTCAGTACAGCCGGAGAAGTATACAATGTCCTCAAGGCCAAACAGATAACAAGAAAACAAAACAGAAACTTAATGAGTCCTTTTAAATCTCAGCTTGCCTGCAGTCTGCAAGGAGAGACTCAGAAATGCAGTCTGCGGTCGTAAAGCAGGAAACCAGCTGGTCCGGTATTCAAGGTGTCCAGGTTAAACAAAGACAAGAGCACAATTCACAACTGTCCCAAGAGACCACGTTTGTTCCCAGCAAATGCCCCACCCCACAGCGTCTCCTTAAATCTTAATCCCAGGTGTGCCTTGTGGAGTGGGGCGGGCCGCTCTCCTCCTGAGCAATTGAGCCTGCCTACGTTGTTCTCTCCTCCTCTCTGCTCTCCTTGCTCTGGGATCAGGTGGGGGGGGCTTGCTCCTCCTCCTCCTCCACCTGGGCCTCAACAAGGTCCTGCTCTAGCTCCATGTCCTCCTCGGATTCAGGCTCGGATGGAGGCATGACTCTTGTTTACTTCTTGATGGTTGGTCTCATATTACTCTTGATGTTAATCTATGCTCATTTGGGTTTTGATTGCTGGTGCTGGTTTATTATAATTGCTATTGCTGAGAAATAAATACTAAATTAACTTAAAAAAATACAAGAGGAAGGGGCACCCCCCCAATTTACACTAAAGCATTGTTTGGGCTAGCACCAACCTGGCCCACCTGGTTCCTGTGTCCAAAGGAACACTAGAATTTGGAACTCCCCATTCCTAATCTAGCTTCTTAAACACTCCACCACACTTCTTATTCTAGGAGACACAACTATACGGTATAAAACAAGCATCAGGTTCCTAAGCATTCAGATATTGATGGACTTTACTCTCATCATTCCGAATCAATAACTATGCTGGCTAGAATAGATAGGAACTGGAATTCTCCACTAAACCCCACAACCCCTGTTGCTTTTAAAGGAATTTGGAAGTTGGCAATTCTTATGGATCCCTGCTTGCAAGTCTATGGCCTTACCCAGCGTCTACCTTGTTTATAATCTTGCAACAAAAGCAGCTTTTGCTAGAGGCTTTAATCTATTACACTGTATATTACAAGACTTCCACATTATATGTACTGTATATTGTCTCCTTTGTACAATTCCTTAGTTCTTTCTCTACAAGCTTTTATTCATTTATACAAAAATTTGTATACCACTCATCCGGGAGACTTGTCAACAACATGACAGTTTACAATAAAAGAATACAATAAAGTCATTCCTAATGAACCAGTTAAAACATCATGATAAAAAAACAAAGTGAAAACGAAGTCTAATCAAATTAATGTGTGTCAAAAGAGCAGCCCACAACCTCTTTTACCACTTGTCTGTTCAATGGATCAAGAGAATCCTATCAGCCTTGATTGGAATTAAATTTATTCCGTATACCCAACAACTTTAAGCAAACTTGGTCAGATGAAAAGCTCTTTCCTGGGAAGTCAAAACTCCGAAAGAGGGCATGAAATTCACTATAATTGCTGCAAAGGCAAACAGAACCTTTTCGAAAGACCCCATGTTGCTCTACTTCCCTTGCTAACGACTTTTGGATATTTCCTATTAATTGCTTCAAAGAAGTTAGACAACTTCAAAGTGACAGGATTGCAATCATCAAGGGAGTACTTTCAGTCCTTGATATAAGAAAATGAAGAACTATTTTTTTATAATTTTTAAATATTTAAAATCAACCGCAAAAAGTTAGACAAGGTTTTGGCTGTGGAGAGTTTTGAATGGATTAAGAGTTGGGAAAATATTGGAATATTAATGCTTTGAAATAATTTTTAAAGGATAAATGCATATTTGCAGGTAAAAAGTGGTAATACAAAGCCAATTTAATAGACCAGGTTAAAAGGGGATATGTTGTTATTTTGGGTGGTTCTTTTTGGATTTACTATTAACTTGATTGTAAAAATGTGATATGTTGGATTTGTTCACATTCAATACGGTGTTTAAGCTTTTCTCCCTATAGTTATCCTGTGTATCCTATTTTTAAACTATGGGTAATCCTCAACTTACAACCATTAATTTTGTGATCGTTCAAAGCTACAACAGCACTGGAAAAAGTGACTTACAACTGGTAGTCACACTTACAACCATCACAGCATCCCCATCGTCATGTGATCAAAATTCAAGTGGTTGACATTTGGCATGTTATTTGTGATGTTGCAAATGGGGTCATGAGATCACTATTTGCGGCCTTCCCAGTGGTCTTCCGACAAGGAAAGCCAATGGAGGAATCCAGATTAGCTTGACAACCATATTATTAACAACTGCAAGTGACTACCTTAACAAAAAAAGTTATGAAATTGAGTGTGACTCATTTAACAACTGCCTTGCTTAACAACAGAAATCCTGGCCTCAGTTGTGGTTGGGAATCAAGGATCACCTGTAGTTATACTGGCATTGTATCTGACTGCCTTTTTACTTAAAGTAAGGAAGTTTGGGGAGTCTGATCTTTTTAAAGGAGAAATTATCTCTCTTTGTTATTTAAAATTCTAGTATTTTGTTTACATTAGGATAATGGGGTTTTCCCATAGGAAGGATTTTTCATAATTAATTCCAAAATCTTATCTCAAATTTATTTGGACCTTTAGTCCTTTGCTTCAATAAGACAGCGTTCAAAAAGTTAGACTAGAGCTGAGGTGACCTAGATACAGGGCCATCCCAAGCATGTTGGATATATTTGTGAAATCTGGATTTGTTTAAAGTTGAGATATGGAATATTTATTTGAATGGGATAGGGCATTGGTTGGATATGGGTGATTTTCTTTGGATTTGCTAGGATTTGGAATGGGAAAAAATAGTGTGTATTGGAGCTTGTCTTTTTAAAAGGAGAAACTGTCTCTTTTTGCTATGTTAAACTTTAAGGGCATTAACCAAGGATATTGGGGACTATTTTATGCCTTTTAAATGGAGTTTTGCTTACAGCTAAGATTTCAGATATGGAATGCAGAGTTTTATGTATGCTAATTAGTGTTCATATTTTAGTGCTCTGCTTGGTCTTTTTGTTGATAATTGGATAAGGGGAAGATGTTACTTATTTAATTTGCCTATTGTTAAAAGATGAGTTATAGGATGAATACTTTTATATTTGTTAATTAAGAGGAGGTGAAGAGATTATGAAATTGTTTACTTTCTGAAGGGGGCTATTTTTACTTTTGTTTTTGCTTTCTTGCACTCCTTTTTCCCTTTTTTGTATTGTCTTTTATTTTTGTTTCTAAACTTTTAATAAAACTATTACAACAAAAAAAAAGAAGATACAAGAAAATTGCATAAACTGGAGCTTTGAATCATTTATATAAGTAATAAAATGTGGTATATAAATAAATAAAAATAAAAAATAACATACAAATTCACAAAAAGGATTCACTGGAACATCTGTAAAAATGATCACGTATCAGTAATGAAAAATTAGTGGTAATACAGAGTTGAGAAAAATAGTTAAAATGAGCATGTCAAAATATACAAACGCAAACTGATAAAGATTTGGCTCCTAACACACCAGATTTAATTGTGGTTAAAAAGAAAAGTGTGGATAATTGATACAGCATTACTGGGAAACAGTCTAAGATAAAGAATTGGAAAAGATCACAAAAAACATGATCTGAAAATTGAAGTTGAAAGATTATGGCATAAACCAGCCATGGTGGTCTGACTGTGCCACACCAAAAAAATATTAGATGGCACTTAGAAAATCTATGCACTGACAAAATTCCCATCTGTCAATTACAAAAGGCCACATACTTGAATGATGTATGCTATGTCAATACATGACAACATTCTAAGTTCTTGGGAAGAACTTAGTCCAATGCCAGCTAAAGATTGGTGGCTGTGATTTCACATTGTTATAACAACAACAACAACAACAACAACAACAACAACAATGCCTACAAGTGCTCTACCTGAGATTTAAATCTTAAGGTGGATTGCCAAATGCTAAAGCCAAACTTGCCTTGACCAATATCAAAACACAATTTTCACTTTTAACTGAAAAGAATCACAAATGAAGGCCAATATATAATGATGCAAAATCGAATTTGGGTCGGTCACCGGGAGCAGAGATTATGAAGCTTTCAGACCCATGCTGGAGCCCATCTTCAAAATGAATCATTTTGCTCAGTTGAGGTGCGGTTCTCCACTGGCAATTTGAAATAGCTGCAGCCAAGTGTTAAACAGCAATTTTGTTGATTTTCATTTGCAGTGAACTTGTCTCTGATCCTTCTGAAACATTTTTTTCCCATTTGCTGGATTGAATAATCACCCAGATACAAGAGTGTATCCAAGAGTGCTTTTCTTTCTTTCTTTCCAGAATTCTTTATATTCTTAATTCAAAATGAATGCCTGTATTTGACATGTAAGACTACTAACATTATAGGGAGGAAATAAGCAAAACATGCAGCCTTTAATTATTTCACACTTTTATTTTTATTCATTTGTTTCTTAGCTAACAAAAATTCCCAAGCAATTTTTTTCCCAAGGGTCAGTGAGAGTCATTGATACCTCTTTAATTCCATTTTTACCCTACTCTTGGAATGTCCATAGTTTGCACAATTAACATTGCTTTGTCTTGGAATCAAGACAGAAGAGAGGATTCCTTAAGGCAGAGAAAAACACTGTTTCAGGAAATGTGTCATATGAATGTAGAGATGCTTTAAAGAAAGGCCTGGAATTGCATGGTTTTGGTCCGTGTACCACTGAAAAGGAAGAAGAGAAACATTATCTTAAGTTCTTAAGCAGAATTCAAACAAACGTATGAAGTAAAAACTTTATAAGATGGGGTGGGAGAGAGAAAATGGGATTTTAGTCTCTGCATCTCATCTTATGTGCTCACCCTCTAAGGTTGCATGGCAAGACCCTGCTGTTCTATCATGTTTGATTTTTGTTTCAAGAACAAAAGTTAAAAGTTGTGTGATTCTCTCATTCATAACGAAAGCCATTTAGGTCCTGAAGGGGCAACAGCAGGGTTACAATGGCAAACATCCAAGCAGAAGAAGCCAATCAGCTGGGATCAGCATTAGGCTTTGTCTTGAAATGAGGTCTTCAAAATTGCAAAATCAGCCCCCACTTACATCCCAAAAACTTTTCTTCTATTTGTGCTTTGACAAGTAGCCTAAACATGCTGGTTTCCTGTCAGAGGTAACCTCCTAACCACCCAAAGTTTACAACAATTTTGATAATTAGGGCACACCTCCCTTTTATAGAGAATACAGAATAACAGAGTTGGAAGGGACCTTGGAGGTCTTCTAGTCCAGCCCCTTGCTCAAGCAGGAGACCTATACCATTTCAGACAAATTGGTTGTCCAATCACTTCTTTAAAACTTCCAGTGATGAAGCACCCACAACTTCTGAAGGCAAGCTGTTCTACTGGTTAATTGGTCTTACTTTTGGGAAAGTTCTCCTTAGTTCTAGGTTGCTTCTCTCCTTGATTAGTTTCCATCCATTGTTTCCTGCCTTGCCTCCTCTCTTATTGGGAAATAAGTTAGCAGACATTTGCATTTATGATTCCAGTTTAAAAGAAAAAATGGTTTAAGGAGATGACCATGCTTAAGCCACAAATCTTGTCCTTTGTCCATTGGAGGAAGACTTGAGGCTCCCCACATTAAGCAAGGGGTCAGCAGTATAGCTCCTTTAAGCATGGTGCATACGATACCCTCAAAAGCATTGGCTGGACCCAAAATTCAGCCTAAAATCACCTTATTTATAGGTTAAATCTCACAAAATCAGCAAAAGATGTGATGTTTTACTATTCCCACCTAAAATCTTACAATCTTACACTTTTGGGTGAGAAAGTGAAAATCTTGTGACATTTAGTAATTTCCCAAGATTTAGGCCAGTGGTTCTCAACCTTTTTAATGCCGCGACCCCCAACCAGTCGTAAATTGAGGACTACTCAACTGGTCGTAAGTTGAGGACTACTCAACTGGTGCAGCACTGTTTGCAGAATGGGACTTTTGGCGGGCTCAGCAGGGCAGAGACAGCCTGGACCATTCCTATTGGCTTTGGAAAGCCAATAGAATTAGACTCTATTCAAGAGAGTCTATTCTATTGGCTTTCAGAAGCCAATAGAATAAAAGGGAGTAGCACAGCTAAGGAAAAGGGGGAAAAAATGGCGGACTGCATTGTTTGGTGACCCCCGTGAAATGGTTGTTCGACCCCAAATGGGGTCCCAACCCACAGGCTGAGAACCACTGATTTAGGCCATTTTAAAAGCAATTTTATTGGGCATTTTGGACTCTCAGTGTTATACTAGCTAAACAGAATTTTAATTAAAGGAATATCTGAGATTAAATACATTTTATTTAATTAGTTTAACTATTTGGAAGCTTGGTTTTAATTTGAGAAATCCTCCCATTTTTTCCCATATGCCAATGGTGGCGAACCTATGGCACGCGTGCCAAAGGCGGCACTCAGAGCCCTCTCTGTGGGCATGCATGCCATGCCCCGGAGATGGCAACCGTCCCTTTTCAACCAGCTGCCCACTAACTTGCTGAGGTCCCACATGGCTGGATGTATCCCAGCACCCATGCACTCACTGGCTTTGGTGTGCAGGGGCTGATGGTGTCAGGCAGCAGCCACCCCAGACCCTGCCTCACCTTGCCCTGTGACAATGGCACCCCCGCCCTGCCTCACCTTGCCTCACCTCACCCCGCAGGATGAGCCTCCTACCCACCGCCCCACCTGCCAGAGACCCCCTGGATCCTCCCCAACCCTGGCCAGCCCCCACAGGCATCCCTCCCCACAAGCAACATCGAGGTGATCACGCCCACCTTGGCCACACCCACCCAATCTGCCATGATCACCACAGCCACACACCCACCTGGCACCCAGCGATAAATAAGTGGGTTTTGGGTTGCAGTTTGGGCACTCGGTCTCTAAAAGGTTTGCCATCACTGTCATATGCTATAATATATTATGTAGCTATGTTACAGCTCTTTGTGGTCTCAGTTGCAATACCAGTTTATTGATTAGATTTATAGCCTGCTTTTCATTCAGGAGTTCAAAGCAGCATATATAGCAGTCCCTCCTACTGTTTTACTATTGGAAGACCTGAAACACAAGTTAGGAACAGACTGCCATGGAGAAAGTCTATGCGGTCATTAAGAGTAGACACTGACTTGATGGCATGTAATCAAAATAAATCAATCCTCCATTTTTCCCTCAGAAGACCAACTCTGTAAAGTAGGCTGAACAGGATGAGAAAAACTTGACCAAAATTAGAGCATCTGTGATTGAGGGTGGATTAAAAACTGGGGACCCCCACTCCTAATCTAACACTCAACAACTATTCCAAATTATTAGCATGACCCATTAATGCTTGAATGACTTGATCATACCTACCATTGCTTGAAAATCCACTTGTGCATTGACTAAGGCTTTGGAGATCTGTGCCGAGTTCTGAAAATGTACATTGTCTGAAATATTAAGCAAGGAAGAAAAGAAATTAAGAAAGTGAATGTGGCTGATTAAAAACAAAAATCCCACCAGTCTGACAAATATCAGAAAGCACGTAAGAGTAGAACATTAGACTCATGTCATGACTTAACAAGCTATATAGCAGGGACGATCAACAATGAGTCAGCAGTGCTCAATGTGCCAGACAGAAAATGAAAATATGTCTTAAATGTATTGACCCTGCTCACAGGAACAGAGAAATGCTTAATGTTTCTTTAACAAAGTGGTTCTCACTCAGGATTGGTACCAGTTTTTCAAAGACCTCACCATCTGCCGTTCCATGGATGAGAAGGTAATCCACATTGTGGAAATTCTGAGCCCTTGCCATCACTGTTGAATTCTGAAAAGGAAAATAATTAACAATTACAGAGTTGCCAAATGCAAAAATGATAGCACCTTCATTATCAGTTGCCCTATGTTCTTATGACAATAACCTATCAGTCAGTAAAAAGTTTTTCTCTACTTTCTACTAACCTTAAATCTCAGGCTTTGTGAGTTTTATTTAAGGAATTATCTAATTCCAACTAGCATCTGATAGTCAGGCTTCTTTTGGATACATGTTTAATGCTATTATGGAACAGCATTAAACTTTTTTTTAAAAAAAAGCAGACTGAAGAACTATGGAGAAACGCAATAATTGCTGGATTTTGAAGCAGCAGAGGCCTCTCTCTCTCTCTCTCTCTCTCTCTCTCTCTCTCTCTCTGTGTGTGTGTGTGAGTGTGTGTGTGTGTGTGTGTGTGTGACCTCCTTCTGGTCAGCTGCCTTCAGGCCAGTCTAGGTCTCTAAGCCAGGGGTACCCAACCCCCAGTCCATGGACCAGTACCAGACCATGGCATGTGAGCAATTGGTCCGCACAAACAAGCAAAGCCCCATTCGCCGGATGCAGGCAGCACACAAAACCACGCCCCCCCCCGGTCCCTGGAAAAGCCTCTCTCCACGGAACCGGTCCCTGGTGCCCAAAAGGTTAGGGACCTCTGCTCTAAGCCAATTGCTAATGGGGTATAGCAGGAGAGTCAAGTTTTCTTCCCTGGATTCTCTTCCTGCCCAAAGACAGTGTCTGAGGACCACAGGGAGCGATTTAGCACCCACACAGTGGTTGGCCATACCTGACTATAACACCAACCAACAGAATTAGTGAAGTGTGTCAGCTTGCAACAATGGCTTATTGTTGTGGCTTATTGCTGTTGGAACACTGGAACTGCTCAAGGCATTTTAAGCTGTCTCAGGAATAGTTTCGGGATGAGATGAAGGCTATGTTATGAAGGCATGGCTTTTTTGGTTTAAAAGGAGACCTTTAATTTCCTTTGTAAAACGAAGTGTTACCCTCTGTCAACCCTCCCCCATCCAAATATGGTAGACAAGGCCTCCCAATTACCCTCAAATATCAATTTAAGACAATGTCAGATGGAAAAACTGGCAGAGAAAAGGAAGAGGGCATCCCACAAGGAACAAAAGGCAGGAAAAGGAAAGCTGAAATTAAACTGTAAGAGTATAATTAAAATATAGGAAGGTTTATGCAGTTCTTACTTTGTAATGCTCAAGATTGTCAGATTCAGTTGGAAGACCCATAAATCGTTCAGTGTAGATAGATGCTGCAATATACAATAAACGTAGCATTAACACACATAAGAGCAAATGCACTGTAAAGAATGTATTTACATTAATTCATGCTGAGCATTCAGGGGGACGTTTGGGCAGTTTTCTCATAATTTTCCATAAAATGGACAATTAATTTTAAAACTGGCCTCATGCCACAAAACATATCAAAAGAGCCATCATCACATGGGTTGGGGGGGAGAAGCCTACCATTAGCAGAGTGATGAGAGTGCCTCCGGTATCTTATTTTGTGTATTAAGTGCAAAATTACTTTGCACAAAAAGGCCTTCATATTGAATTCTTTCAAAAATATTTTTGTTTTGGTTTTTTTGCCAAGGAAGCAGGGAGTTGTCAAAACAATGCTGTTTGTACCTTAATTTGATGGTTATGTGGAACTACCGTATGTGCTCTTTCTCTGTGATACGCATTCTATGCATTTTGACTTGTGGGCAGATGACCCATTTCCTATTGTTTCTTCCACAGCAAAACCTTGCAAAGGGTTAAAAAAAATGTTGCCTGAGATGGCATAAATAGGGTAACGAAGGTGGAGGAGTGTTCAAGAAGTAGTTGGGCGTGATGCCAAGCTGCCAGCTCCATAGCCACAAGATTGTGTGCAGAACTGATTGAGATGAAGAGCAGGTCCAGCCAAAGTTTAACATCTGAAGCTATGATTGATCTTTAAAAGGGCACCTAATGATTGGAAACAGGAGCTGTTTCATGGACAACAGTGTCTTTGAAAAGGCTTGCATTTTGCCGTGTTTGTTTTAAGAATATCTCCTTTGAAGACATATTCCCAGCAACTCTGCAGACTATTTCAAAGCAAGCTTTGCCCAAGAAAAGGTGTGTTTGTTTTTTTTAAAAGAAAGTGTATTTTGAAGAAGGTGTTTTTAGATGAAGTACGTCTCAGACATTTTTTTCTGTGAGCAAAGGCCCTAGCAGTAACCTAGTTTTTAAAAATAATCCACTTTTTGTATCCAGCTATTAAAACCTGATATTGTAAGTTGTTTTTACATACCATAATATTCCCAGCTGGAAACAGGAGCCACAGCTATTCCACACTTAAACATGCCAGTACCCGACCCAAGTGCCAGCGATGTAATATATCCACCGTAGGACTAGAAAGAAACAAGAGAGAAGTTAATATGCAAGAAGGCAAGTATTTGCTCTCTAAGAATCCAAGTAATAAAACATTGAAGCCAAGGGGAACATTTGTTTTGGCATCCAAGAATACAGACTACTCAACAGTTTCTCCTGAATAATTTTCTATGAGCCACTGGAACAAATGGGACTTCCAAATATTTCCCTTCTAAAAAGTACCTCTCTTTAATTCCTCTAGGACAGGGGTTTCAAACTTGCAACATCATGTGATGTGTCGCGACATATCGCGACTTTTTTTTCCATTGCTGGCAATGGGGTGGGCGCGGTTTTGGCATAACGCATTCGGCCCACAGGCCGTCAGTTTGACACCCCTGCTCTAGGAGCCTAAAATTATGCATCTGAGGCTCTCATCTTATTTTAACCTCATAACAAGCTTGGGAGATAGATTGGGCTGAGAGTTTGTAGTTGATCTAAATCAGCCAGATAAGTTCCATAATTGAGTGGGAACCTGAAACCTGCATTTTTCTTTCTGCAGTGACAGAAAGAACAAAGGAACTATGATTAGGTTCTTACATCGCATCAAGCCATATTATGATTTGGGGTTGGCTTTGCATGTTACATATACCTAGCCATTATGGTTTATGAGCCATGGTTTATTACTCAGTTGTATGTGTGAACCCATCCAATTGTGCTTTATTCAACAAACCACGCTTAATAAGGTGGCTTAACATGATATATGAACCTAGCCAATGTTTATTGCAGGTTCAGTTACAGAAGCTGAAAGAAATGCTGCTATGACACAGATGTGCTTTTAGCTGAAGAGTAACAACCAGTTACATCAGAGATGATCTGTGACAAAGTTTCTCAATTTTACATGTCTTTTTCCTAAAAAAAGAGAAAATAGCTCTTCTCAGTAATTCTTCATTGCCTCTTTGCAGATTGGCATACATCATTTACCTGTATGAGGGAGACTAAGGAATGTACTAGTATTAGGAAAGTTGAAAATCTAAGATATACTGTCATTCAAGAATCTGAACTACATTGTGTGGAGATAAAGAAAACATTATGTAATATATCAGCATTATCAAGGGACAGTGGTCCTTACAAAGTAAAGCTAGCAACAAAGAAAAATTCGCTGAGATACTTTGTAGTTGGAAGGAGAGAAAAAAAAAATCAGGAACGGCTTTCTCACAGAGAAGAGCAAGTCTAAGCAGCAGAGTTAGCATGACATTAAAGGGCAGCAAATTATTAATTACTTGGTTTGTTATTACAGTACTGTGGTAGGACAAGAAAGGTGATTAAGGGATTTGATATATTAAAATAACATGGCAGTGTTATTGACATTGTGATTGGCTAGAGGGCTCACCTTTTACTGAACTGTCTCAAGATAGGAATATGTGCAAAGGAAAAAGAAGCAAACCAGAGATATGGGGTTACTCAGAAATGGCTGCCCAGGGTTTCCCTGTGTTAAGATGGGTAGCCAAAAAATTTAATAATAAAATAATAAAATAAAATATACACACACAGGGTATGGACTTTTATTCTGTGGTCTGCTCAAAGAAGATGCCAAGCAGTGGTGGGATTCAAATATGTGAACAACCGGTTCTATGTGTAGACGCCACTTCTGGAAGTCCATTCTGGGCCTGGGCAACAACAAATTAGTTACCAGTTCTACCAAACTGGTGTGAACTGGCTGAATCCCACTACTGATGCCAAGTCATAATAAATTTAGTTTGAATTCAACAGGTTGTGTGGGATTTATGACACAGTAAGTTGTGAAAACCTAGGGCAGTGATGGAGAACATTTTAGAGACCGAGTGCCCAAACTGCAAAACCAAAAACTACTTATGTAACATAGGATGACAGGTGGCCGTGGCCTACTGGGTGGGTGTGGCCAATTGGGTGGGCATGGCCACATGCATGCCATAGATTCGCAACAACAGACTTAGGGATAGGGTTATGTCACCATGAACTCGGAGATAAAAATGGAAATTGCCAAAAAATCCAAAGTGGTTGGGTATGGTTAGGAGCACACTGACTTTTCTAGCCTGCCCTACCTATATTTCCTGCTAAAATACATGGGAAAATCCCACTGGAGGAAAATTCAGCTTAGGGTTAAGGTTAGGTCACCATGAACTCAGACAGCAAAATGGACATCATCAACAAATCTGGAGTGCTTGGGTATGGTTGGGAGGGCACTCACTTTTCTAGCATGCCCTATCTATGTTTCCTGGTAAAATACATGGGATATTCCCATAGGGGGAAAATTTGACTTAGGGTTAGGGTTAGGTCAACCTGAACTCATAGGGCAAAATGGACATCGCCAACAAATTCAGCGTGCTTAGGTATGGTTAGGAGGGCATTGATTTTTCTAACCGGCCCTATCTATATTTCCTCGGATAAATACATGGGAAAATACCATAGGAGAAAAAATCCACTTAGGGTTAGGGTTAGGTCAACATGAACTCATAGAGCAAAATGGACATCACCAACAAACTTGGAGTGCTTGGGTATGGTTAGGAGGGCACTGACTTTTTTAGCCTGCCCTATCTAGGTCTCCTGGTAAAATACATGGGAAAATACCATACGGGGAAAATTCCACTTAGGGTTAGGGTTAGGTCAACATGAACTCATAGAGCAAAATGTACACAGTCAGCAAACTTGGAGTGCTTGGGTATGCTTAGGAGGACACTGACTTTTCTAGCCTGCCCTATCTATATTTCCTGGTAAAATACATGGGAAAATCCCATAGGGGGAAAATTACACTTAGGGTTAGGGTTAGGTCAACATGAACTCATAGAGCAAAATGGACATCACCAACAAACTCAGAGAGCTTGGGTATGGTTAGGAGGACACTGAATTTTCTAGCCTGCCCTATCTATATTTCCTGGTAAAACAAATGGGAAAATCCCACAGGGGGAAAATTCCACTTGGGTTAGGGTTAGGTCAACATGAACTCATAGAGCAAAATGGATATTGCCAAAAAACTTGGAGTGCGTGGAAATGCACAGGAGGACACTGACTTTTCTAGCCTGCCCTATATATGTCTCCTGGTAAAATACATGGGAAGATACCATACAGGGAAAAATACACTTAGGGTTAGGGTTAGGTCAACATGAACTCATAGAACAAAATGGACATCGCCAACAAACTCAGACTGCTTGGGTATGCTTAGGAGGACACTGACCTTTCTAGCCTGCCCTATCTATGTTTCCTGGTAAAATACATGGGAAGATACAATACGGGGAAAATTCCACTTAGGGTTAGGGTTAGGTCAACATGAAGTCATAGAGCAAAATGGACATCGCCAACAAACTCGGACTGCTTGGGTATGCTTAGGAGGACACTGACTTTTCTAGCCTGCCCTATCTATGTTTCCTGGTAAAACACATGGGAAAATCCAACAGGGGGAAAATTCCACTTACGGTTAGGATTAGGTCAACATGAACTCATAGAGCAAAATGTACACAGTCAGCAAACTTGGAGTGCTTGGGTATGCTTAGGAGGACACTGACTTTTCTAGCCTGCCCTATCTATATTTCCTGGTAAAATACATGGGAAAATCCCATAGGGGGAAAATTACACTTAGGGTTAGGGTTAGGTCAACATGAACTCATAGAGCAAAATGGACATCACCAACAAACTCAGAGAGCTTGGGTATGGTTAGGAGGACACTGAATTTTCTAGCCTGCCCTACCTATGTTTCCTGGTAAAACAAATGGGAAAATCCCACAGGGGGAAAATTCCACTTACGGTTAGGATTAGGTCAACATGAACCCATAGAGCAAAATGGATATTGCCAACAAACTTGGAGTGCTTGGGTTTGGTTAGGAGGGCACTGACCATTCAAGCCTGCCCTACCTATTTTTCATGGTAAAATACATGGAAAAATCATATAGGGGAAAAATTCCACTTGGGTTAGGGTTAGGTCAACATGAACTCATAGAGCAAAATGGATATTGCCAACAAACTTGGAGTGCGTGGAAATGCATAGGAGGACACTGACTTTTCTAGCCTGCCCTATCTATGTCTCCTGGAAAAATACATGGGAAGATACCATACAGGGAAAAATACACTTAGGGTTAGGGTTAGGTCAACATGAACTCATAGAACAAAATGGACATCGCCAACAAACTCAGACTGCTTGGGTACGCTTAGGAGGACACTGACCTTTCTAGCCTGCCCTATCTATGTTTCCTGGTAAAATACATGGGAAGATACAATACGGGGAAAATTCCACTTAGGGTTAGGGTTAGGTCAACATGAAGTCATAGAGCAAAATGGACATCGCCAACAAACTCGGACTGCTTGGGTATGCTTAGGAGGACACTGACTTTTCTAGCCTGCCCTATCTATGTTTCCTGGTAAAACACATGGGAAAATCCAACAGGGGGAAAATTCCACTTACGGTTAGGATTAGGTCAACATGAACTCATAGAGCAAAATGGACATCGCCAACAAACTTGGAGTGCTTGGGTATGCTTAGGAGGACACTGACTTTTCTAGCCTGCCCTATCTATATTTCCTGGTAAAATACATGGGAAAATCCCATAGGGGGGAAATTCCACTTAGGGTTAGGGTTAGGTCAACATGAACTCATAGAACAAAATGGACATCGCCAACAAACTCAGACTGCTTGGGTACATTTAGGAGGACACTGACCTTTCTAGCCTGCCCTATCTATGTTTCCTGGTAAAATACATGGGAAGATACAATACGGGGAAAATTCCACTTAGGGTTAGGGTTAGGTCAACATGAAGTCATAGAGCAAAATGGACATCGCCAACAAACTCGGACTGCTTGGGTATGCTTAGGAGGACACTGACTTTTCTAGCCTGCCCTATCTATGTTTCCTGGTAAAACACATGGGAAAATCCAACAGGGGGAAAATTCCACTTACGGTTAGGATTAGGTCAACATGAACTCATAGAGCAAAATGGACATCGCCAACAAACTTGGAGTGCTTGGGTATGCTTAGGAGGACACTGACTTTTCTAGCCTGCCCTATCTATATTTCCTGGTAAAATACATGGGAAAATCCCATAGGGGGAAATTCCACTTAGGGTTAGGGTTAGGTCAACATGAACTCATAGAGCAAAATGGACATCACCAACAAACTCAGAGAGCTTGGGTATGGTTAGGAGGACACTGACTTTTCTAGCCTGCCCTATCTATGTTTCCTGGTAAAACAAATGGGAAAATCCCATAGGGGGAAAATTCCACTTCCGGTTAGGATTAGGTCAACATGAACCCATAGGGCAAAATGGATATTGCCAACAAACTCAGAGAGCTTGGGTATGCTTAGGAGGACACTGACTTTTCTAGCCTGCCCTATCTATGTTTCCTGGTAAAACACATGGGAAAATCCCACAGGGGGAAAATTCCACTTACGGTTAGGATTAGATCAACATGAACTCATAGAGCAAAATGGACATCGCCAACAAACTCGGACTGCTTGGGTATACTTAGGAGGACACTGACCTTTCTAGCCTGTCCTATCTATGTTTCCTGGTAAAATACATGGGAAGATACCATACGGGGAAAATTCCACTTAGGGTTAGGGTTAGGTCAACATGAACTCATAGAGCAAAATGTACACAGTCAGCAAACTTGGAGTGCTTGGGTATGCTTAGGAGGACACTGACTTTTCTAGCCTGTCCTATCTATGTTTCCTGGTAAAATACATGGGAAAATCCCATACGGGGGAAATTACACTTAGGGTTAGGGTTAGGTCAACATGAACTCACAGAGCAAAATGGACATCACCAACAAACTCAGAGAGCTTGGGTATGGTTAGGAGGACACTGAATTTTCTAGCCTGCCCTACCTATGTTTCCTGGTAAAACAAATGGGAAAATCCCACAGGGGGAAAATTCCACTTCGGTTAGGATTAGGTCAACATGAACCCATAGAGCAAAATGGATATTGCCAACAAACTTGGAGTGCTTGGGTATGGTTAGGAGGGCACTGACCATTCAAGCCTGCCCTACCTATTTTTCATGGTAAAATACATGGAAAAATCATATAGGGGAAAAATTCCACTTGGGTTAGGGTTAGGTCAACATGAACTCATAGAGCAAAATGGATATTGCCAACAAACTTGGAGTGCGTGGAAATGCATAGGAGGACACTGACTTTTCTAGCCTGCCCTATCTATGTCTCCTGGTAAAATACATGGGAAGATACCATACAGGGAAAAATACACTTAGGGTTAGGGTTAGGTCAACATGAACTCATAGAACAAAATGGACATCGCCAACAAACTCAGACTGCTTGGGTACGCTTAGGAGGACACTGACCTTTCTAGCCTGCCCTATCTAT